TTTCAAAATATTTTTATATTTTATTAAATGAGTTTGGTATTTTATTTATATTTTTAAATACATCGAAATTGAAATTTCAGCCATACTAAATGAGCATTTTTATTTGTTGGGTTCAGGGTAGTATCTAGTCGAGCACTCTCGACTAGAGTTTTCTTACTTGTTTTTCATTTCAAATGGTTTTTTTTTTCCTTTTTTTGTTTTATTACTAAAAAAATGTGCAAGCATACAAAGCGCGCAGTAATTTAAGTAGAAATTTAATTAAGCTATTTAATAGCGCAATTAATATTAATGCGCTCGTATAAGCACAAACGACAGTTTACACGATTTAATTATAGATTAGGCCTGCCATATTCTATTATTTATCTACCCTGCGAGCATAGAAAATTGAATGGGTATAAAGAGGAGTAAGGGTATATGTAAGTAAGAAATATATATATGTATATATATTTAGGTATTAAGGTTCGAGTTTGGGCTATCGATAAGTTTGATATTCCTTCATCGAATAGGTGTTTTAGCCAAAAACGTAATACACAAAGAGAAACTAGGAATAATTAATCATATGTTATATAGAATTGAACAGGAAGAATATATGATATAGATAAAATATTATTGTAATTATAATCTAGAATAGAATACAAAAATATTTTCCTTTTTTTTTTTTTTTTTTTTTTATATTGTACATGGAATATCTGTATAATCCTGTTACACTCGATTAAAATCAGTTTCTAGCATATCTTAACAATGAAGTAAAACGATTTTTGAGTGAAATCGATTGTAGCCGATTTGGGTTTGGTGAGATTGGACTGCGTGCGAGCTAAGCTGAGTCTGAGGTTTTAATTGTATTACAATGTGTACTTGATTTAACTAATTTCTGGGCATGTGCTGTTTATTATGACAATTAATAGAGCTCTGCGTTCTCATGCTAATGCAATTTGTGCACAATACGTGTATTGTGCGCTGCACGCAGTAAACTCATAATTGGAATCATCTTTTAATTGCCATATTAAGCACGCTCTGTAAGTGCGTACAGCGAATGTACATACACATACATATAGGTGTGTGTATATATAGACACGCTACACACACATGGGAAAGCAATTATGCATGAAGACGGTATTTAGTTGAAATTGATTGCGCACGACACACACACTCGATTGGTTTAGATATTTAACGTAGTTATACAGAAGGAGAGAGAGAGAGAGAGAGGGAGAGAGGGAGACTTGTCAAGCAAAAGTTCGATGCATCCAGGTGTTGAGCTCTGCATGTGTGCGTATCTGTTTACGTGCTGGGCGAACACTCAATTAGACAGCTTGACAGTTGAACAAATTGTGCAAGGCTAGCCAAAATTCAGTTCTGCACTTGGCAACACTTTGGTCAGTTGACAAACTCTGTTTGATCAGCTGAACTCGTAAAATGCTCAATATTAGATGATATAAGCCTTGTATTTCGCATATAGATTTCTAATTGATCGATGATATATATTTGATGACATTTTGAGGATATCAACAGTTACAGGTGCAGATAGATAGATGATAGCATTATTCCAGCTAAATTTAACAGCCAAAGAAAAAAAAGGCGCCTATATTTGTGACATTTATATTATTATAACAATATATTGTTAATAAATATTTTCATTAACTCTAAGAAATTCATCAAGCCTTCTCCAATTTCTTCACCCAAAACTAAAATTGAATTTCGATATGTGCTGGGTAATAATCCAAGAAATCATGCCAAATGCTGTGCTCGATATGCAGAGCGTTGCAACTATTAATGCAAAATGCCAAATTGCTTAAATTAACATGTGTGATATAAGTGTGCGAGTGTGTGCTTGTGTGTGTATTTGTGGCCAAGAGGCAGTTATGGCCTCGAAGTGCCTACGAGAGCTTCATTTATTACTGTATTTATGTGCGGCGTAAATCAAGTGTGCAAATGGATTGGAATTAATAAATGCGTCTGGCCGGAGCAGCAGCAGCAGCAGCAGGAGCAGCAGCAGCAACAGCAGTGGCAACAACAGCGGCAACAATAATTGTGAATAGTTGCTTGTTGTTGTAATTATGGAAATAAATAAAAGAAAGAGCACTGGCAAAGCCGAAAAAAATATGGGTTACAAATTGTACATGAGCTTCTGCGCTGGCAATGCTACGGGCCCCAAAAAGTATGCTACAATAAATGGCACGCTCACACACACACGTACGCACAGATACACAGAGATAGGGCGCCTGCACTCTGTAATTTGATTTTAAATGCAAGTTTTTGTTGCATTTGTTGTTTTTGCATATTTTATGTTAATTAAACTTGTTGCAACGACTTTTTTGTGCATGTATCCGTGGCCGCAACTTGAAACCAATTACGCTGCAATCATATACATATACATATACGCAGAGGCACGCTCCCGCACAGACACACACACACACACTCACACATATGCAGCGACTCATATACTGACAGCTTGTTACGCTGCTTAATTCCTCTGACTCTCCAATTCTTTTACCCCATCCTCGCCCACTCTTGGGCGCTTGTTACTTCGTTAGCTAGTTTTGACGTGCCACCTCCCCAAGCAGCAGCAGCGGCTGTGGCAGCGGCAACAGTTCGCTCCAAGCGTGAAATAACTTCCGTTGCGAATTTTATGTTCGCTGCAAATTTTTATTCACAAAATGCACAATGCGCAGATAACTAAGTGTGTGTGTGTGAGTGTGGGTGTGGGCGGTAGGTGGGGGCGTATTATGGGTGTGAGTGGGCATCAGGCATCATCTACGACTCACATATGCGCACATGTGTGTGTGTGTGGTTTAGTTTTTGCTGACTGCGTTTGCTTGTTTGTGCCTTTCTATATGTATATATATTTATATATACTTTTTTGCCATTCAGTTAGCTGGGGATGTGTTTTAATGAGCTTCAAATTATGATGCGGATGAATCAGCTGAATGCTAGATGCTTCAGAATTAGAGCCCAGTAAGCTAAGATATTAAATGTCAGCTGAATAGTTGAAGGAATTTTTAAAATATATTTTATTATTTATTTTTCATATTAAACCTTAGCATTGAACCTAAAGAAGAATAATTTTTTCAAATGGGATAGATTTTGGGCTACATTTTAGACTCATTAGAGCTTTAACGTTCATTTTGGGGATCGAGTTAGTTAGCTTGAAGGATACCCAAAAGCATCTCCCCTAAAAATATTATAATAATGCCCATATCTGAAGCCATATATGATCCATCGAAGAGCATTTCACATTCGTCTGCAATTGACTTGCTTTTAATTACTACCAATAAAGCCGAATTATTTCTTTTCAATTCTCTCTCTCTCTCTCTCTCTCTCTGCCTCTCTCTCTCTCTCTACCTCTCACTCTCTTTTCCATTTGGTCTTCATAAATGGCACACTTTATACACATAATTTGCCATCAACTTTTGTCTAGCTTAGCGTTGCTTCACTTGCAAATCCAGATTTATGCATTTTGGGAATTGAAAATTGATAGGCTTTTGCTTTGATTAGCCCATAAACTAAGCACATAATTCTACTAAATTGAGAAATAATATTAAGTGCGCCAAATAAAAGCCACAAAATATGCGAATTGCCAAAATGTGTTGCCACAAAAGGAGGCAACATGCAAATTAAGAGCGCTGCACGAACCAAGAATCGTCGTTGCATGTTCTACACACAGACACACACACACACATACACCTTGTGTTGTGTTGAATTGCGGTGTAGCATTTCCATTGTAGAGGACAACGCAACTAACGCAGTGAAAGCGCCCAAAGGCAGGCTGTGAAAATGTATTTACCAAAGTGTTGAAATGTTGCACAATTTAAATTAAAATGACTTTGTCGACTTGTTTGCCGCATCTCTCAGATAGTCGCAGTCGAATGCCCTAACCGAAATGGACAACTACATTTCATGATTTCCCTTTAATGGAAAAATAAAGGAAATAACATTAAAATGTTTTGCATTCAAATTAGCAAAGATTATAATCTGAAATAGTCATTTGTTTATAGGGTATTTCCAAAGTAATATACTTACATTTTTGTGTATTTCCTTTCCTGTTACTTTCTTTTTGTGAATTTTCTCCGACGTCTACTTTATCCCCAGTTTGTAATTATTTTCCATCTTCCTTTGCCGCAAGTGTGAAAATAAGCACCGTTTTTATTCGTCTCAAGTCATTTTCCATATTTTCGTTCTTTCTCTCTCTCTCTCTCTCTCTCTCTTTTTAGTTTCCTGTACATTTATTCGCCTCTGTTCTTTCATGTCTTTTTGTATGGTCTTAACGCTGAATAATAAATATAATAATGAGAGTAAAAGTTTTGTTTATGTCGTAGCTCTCTGTTTGCGGCTGCTCAGGTGAATGTTTGGGCCACTTGCTATGCTAGAAATATGAGAATGCGAAGAATTTTACTTCGGAATGTGTTCTATAATTTTCAGCATTTGATTTTCTCACAGTATAACACATTGGGGTTTGTGTCTGTGCTTAAGTTAGCCAAGACACAAGTTGAATCCACCACCAAAACTTTTGATAAATCGGTCAACGATCTGTGCTGGAAAGAAAACCACCACCAGGAAAGCATAAAGAGAGAGAGAGAGAGAGCGCGGGAGTGGGAGAGTGGGAGAGAGAGGACAGAGAGTAAATAATGATAAAGACTGTTAGTGAGCGAGCAGAGGGGGAGGTAAGGTCGTGTTGGACATAAATAGCAGCTGCACTCTATGGAAAACCGGTTTACATAGAATGCTGTGACGTGTGTATCAGTGCATTTCGAGAGAGTTTGGTGTGTAGACGAGTTTTCTTTAAATGCCAAACACACATTTCATTTAACATATAAACATATATATGAAATGTCGCTCGACAATCATTTCCACAAAATCAGACACTACTATCCCGGAATTCTGACCAATGTGCGGCATGTCTTATCAAGTGGCAAATGCACCTCGCCTGAGCACACCATGACGCTCTCGCAAATACGTGGTAAGTTGTACCGCCCCTTGTCTTATTGGAATGAAGCATGTCTTGAGTAAGAGCCAAACTCTCAACAGCTGGCTACAGGGAACTAACAAACGAGACATTTCCCAACATGGGCGATCCACGCCTTGAGCTCTGTTTCCTGCTCTCGGCGCCATACATCGCTTGTTTTTCCAACAAGCACGGCACATTCCACTTTTACATCGTGCCGCACGCGGATAACTGACAGAATCTTTAAATTTAGTGTTGATGTGCAATTTAGTTAAATAGTTACAAATTTATATTTACAAATTTATGTTTAAAAATTTATATTTACAAATTTATGTTTAAAAATTTATATTTACAAATTTATATTTTGATACAAATAAAACGTGATGCAAAATTGGAGCAAAATTTCATTTTTAATAATTAATTAAAAAAAGAAAAATCAATCTGGATTTACATTTAAATAGCAGACTTTAATATATATATTGTTAAATAATATTTCTATCATGTTTATATATAAGCACTGTTGATTAATTATCATCATGCTCATCGTATTCAATATTTTTATTTTTTATAAATTTAATTTTTAGCATCAATATTGCTTTCCTCTTTTTCTTAAAAATGAAAAGCAATTCAAAAAACTCGTTAGTTTATCGTTAATCGAACAAGTTACAAATTCAATTTAATATTTAGTCAACTTGGCAGCGACTGTTGCCACAGCTGCCAATCTAGGCCAAAACAAGCCACAATGCCAACAGCCACCCACACAGACAGCAAATAATTGTGGGACAACAGAGAGCACATCAAATCAAATGAATATGCGCCCGCAGATTTACATAGAGTCAACACATACATGCATGCATGTATGTGTATATAGTGACAAAAACGTGACCATAAAAAACAGCAAACCAAACAACAAACTAACGGAACACAGAACTGAACAAATCAACAAATAAACAAACCAACTGAGCAAACTGAATCAAAAAACCGACTTGGCCACACTACTGGGACATGGAGCTGGAGCCGGAGAGGGAGCTGGAGCTGGGCGAGGAATGGTGGCTGSCTGCTGTCCATCTGTCTGTCTGCCTGTGTTGGGTCACGCAGCCGCAATGGAGCCAAAGCAAAACGTAATGAAACTAAATGCCGTACCGAAGAAAACCCCAAAACAAATTCATTACGGAACTGCACCTCAGGGGGTGATAATTCGATTCAACGAAAACTTTTGCTGATTATTTATTGCTATTGCCGATTCTCGCTCTCTCTGTTTTGCCTTCTCTCGCTTTCCCGCTCACACACACACACACACACACACTGTTGGCATTTCTAGTTCTGCTGCTGCTGAAGTTATCCCCGTGGCGTTTAGCTGTTAGTGTCATAAAATGTTTTGTGGCACAAAACTGGGCACTGGAACTCATTATTTTGTTCATTAACACTTTTTGCTTTTTTGTTTCTGCTTCTGTTTTTGTTTCTTGTTTTGTTCCTGTGTTTGTTTCTGGCTTTAGTTACTTTCCGTTTGGTTTTTATACCCTGCGCAGCGGGCATTATAACTTTTTACGAAACTGTGCCTAATATAATTTCGCATCATTAGTGAGCCTTCTTATATTCTGAATACATATATATCTATACTCGATTGGAATGAGCAGCTGATTTGCTGACGGCTTTACTTTTGATGAAACTCTTTTGGTTTTTATTGAGATTGATCAGCGTTCAGAGAAAGTAATTCCCTAGAGATTTTACTTTTGGTTGTATTCTATACAACTATTTTTAATAAAATTTATTAAAAGTCTTTTGATAAACAAAATCACATAACTTTAGCAAAGATTTAACAGCTTATCATAAAATTTTATTGCCTGCAAGGGCATTAAAACTTCGCTCAATAATAATTGTTCTAGAAGTCTTGCTGCCATATATTAAATTATGCGCCATTTGATTTTCATCTTTTTTTTTCTTGAGGATGTTTTTTGTTAATTTGATTTATGCGCCTAAATTTATATACATATATGGGCATTTATGAGCAAACATAAAATTATTTCATGTTTACTTTTACGGCTGGCTGTTTTGTGGTTTAGTTTTTTGGCTTTATGCAAATTTTTCTTATCTTTAATAGAATGTCTGTCTGGCTGGCTGCTTAAGTTTTATTAACTGCGGCTTTAATTCATTAGTAAAAGTGGGTAAAATGTGGCAAAGTGTTCGCCCAGGAGTTGCCTCTTGGCCGTTTCGGCGCGTTATGGCACTTGGCTCAGTTATAAAATGTTATCGACGGCGCAGGTTTTTATGTTTTGGGGTCAGATAAATGTGTTTATTGGACATTTTGCGGCCAAGTTGTCGGCCGGGCTGTTTAATTTTTGTGGTCCGTTATTCTTTTTTGTGGCATTTTTGTGGACAGCAGCAGCAGGAGCAGCAGGATCTGAGATAGAAAACATGTTTACGACACACAAACGCAGTTCAGGCAGATTTGTCCTGGGATTAGAGCAAAATGTTAAGAGCTGCTCATTAAGAGGCTAACAGAATGTGTGAGAATTTACGACCAGCACAAAGGCAACAACGGCTCTCAGCTAGATAGTGATACGCGAATAAGATGACGAAGAAGAAGAAGAATCTAAGTGCCAGTGCTCCATTAACAAACTGATGAAGTTGTTGATGGAGAACTGTTAGCCCAGCTCCAACATTGGAACATAATGTATGCCACTAAGCCTCTTTAAAGCGGATTAACTAAAGAGCAAGGTATATCGTTTTTTTTCTCTCATTTTTTAATATCTATCCATAAACAGAATACAAATAATATTATAAATACTCATAGTAAATAATAAGCTTTGCTTTAATGTAAATTTCAGCTCCAAATAATTTCAGCTTTATATATGCAATTAATTATTATATATATTTTTTGTTTTTATAATACTTAAAGTTTTCATAGCAAAAACCATTCACAAATATATATTTCATTTATAATTCAGCATTATTTAATGCTTTGCTGGGTCTCTATTATGTTTTGAGCTAATTTCTTTCAAAATCCCTTAACTAAATCAAAGTTAAACATTTTATTGGCTGGCCCAATGGAGTCACAAGGCAAGTTTCAATTAAATAGCTCGCTGCTGCGAGTAGAAGCGAGCTGGTCGGTCCTTGGGCTCAGCCAAGTTCTATTTGCTGGCTGCTCCTTGCGGACTTTGGGCCGTCAAACAAAGGCCAGCTCCGGAGCACAAGCCATGAATTCATTTTAAAATTGTAGCTGCAAAACAAAAGAACTGCCATTGTGCAATTAAAATTGTATGCCACTGGGGAGTCGGGAGTGAGGAGTCGGGAGTCGGGAGAATAGGGAATAGGGAGTGGCGAGTGGGGAGTGGAGAATGGGGCAGCAGCACTAGCCGAAGCCAAAGTGTAGAATCGCTGGGTGACTGTTAGCAGATGGGCATCTCTTGTAGAGGCAGCTGCCTGTCGATAAGAGAAATTAAAACAAACAGACGCTGTACGCTCTCCCTCTCTCTCTCTCTCTCTCTCTCTCTCTCTCTCTCTCTCTCTCTCTCTGCCACTCTCTCGCTGTTTCCTTCTCTCTAACTGTTGTACAATCTGTACAATTTCCAAAGTGACACAGTGCAAAAGCAAAAACAAACACAACTACAGTGACAGAGCAACGCCCGACGGACTGACGCACCGCCCGAGTTCAATATGTGTCCATGCGACTTGAGCTGAATCCTAGACCATGGGGTCCAGCTACAGCTGGTCATGTTTACGGCATATCATGACAGTTACCCCCAATCCACATTTTTCTAGGTTATTTTTTTCTGTTTTGTTTTGCGGGTTCCATTGCTTTAAGTTGTCACAGTTGTTCAAGTTGTCGAGTTTAGTTTAGTTTGGTCCAGTCCCCCAGCAGCTGCACTTGTCGTGTTGCCTAAGTCCCCAATGATATCGCATAAGTTTTTCAATTTTGTGCGTTATTAGAAGCGATTAGAGCCGAAGCACGGCACAGTCCAACAGACTGCAAAAAGCTACTGCTCCACCTCGCCCCTTTGCCATTGACATTCCCATCGCCTCGGTTGAGGGGGCAGACACAGCATTGAGGAGTCATAAACAGTTCACACCAATTGGCAGCTGGCTTTATGTGCTGCGGCAATAAAAAGTTGTATATATAAGTATATACATATA